CCCTATTCTCAGGGTGAGTGGGAGGGTGGTTGTGGGTGGTCATGGGGTACAATTTATTTCCATGGGCTCTGTGCGAGATTCTGTGGAACGTCGAACACCGCATGAAAATGGTTAAAGTCAAGAAAACAGCACAAACTCAATTATGTGCCAACCAATTATATATACATGTACATGTATGTTGCACAGTTAAGTACAGTTTCTGGGGAGTTTTCGACAATAGTTTTTAATGGTTGTGGTTGCCAGGTGAAGAGATGAACCAGTAAAAATACATTTTTTCCTTTACCACACATCCAACTCGTCAAAAATCAATGAAAAAAATAGTCCATTATTTATTGCGCAACTGTGACCAAACAACATCATTCTGTTAACACCCACACATTTTCGTAAAATCTCCATGTACTTTTTCACCATTTATACACTACAATTTACTCCAGAAAAACAATTTTCTTGGTACATTCCAACATATTAAATGAGGGATCCAGACACATTCCAAGCTGAACACTTTTCTTTGACTAATAACAAAGCTGGTCAATCCTCCGAGTCCCAGCAATAAACTTCCTACATATCAGCCAAAATGTGTTTTTTTCAGCACATATCAATTCCAGCCAAAATTAAGTATTGTCCAATACCACCTCGAATCGGTGGTTAAATATTAAAACATAAAATGCAGGAAACGAGTGCAGAGAGCAAAATTTCCCCGAAAAACATAGGCACCTAACTAGAATTTCATGAAAATAGGGCTTAAACAGAGCATTAAACAAGAGAATGATTACAAGTTCTCGATTCGCAATGATATGCAGAGAACTAGCAACACACAGTAGGTTCTGTCAAGGACGATATTCTCTGGCTGTGAGGGCGCTGGATATTTAAGGAAATCTCTTACCAGGATTTTGTATTAACAAATTAAAAGTTAGATTAGAATGAGAATTCAAGATGCTATTATAAGATATCCCAAGTAACAGAGGATAAAATAAAAGGTATCATATGAAGAACATTGTTACTGTTTAGTATAAAGTAGTTATAATAGTACTTAAATTATAATTATAGTTAGTTTTTATGATCTATCAGAATTTTACCTTTTCCTCAAGTATATACTTAAATATAATAAAATAAAAAAAGGATTATTGTATGAGGATTTTATACTACTATGAGGTTATTACGAGGATACCAAAAAGTATGACCAGGACAGTACGGTGGGAGTATCGACCGGTACGCAGCGGAGGTCGATGCAATGACGTACTGTCTGAGTGCATACTTTGAGGTATTTTCGTAATAACCTTTTTATTATACATCAATTCCTCCCAATGATACATCATGGGAATGCCAAAAAGTTTAGAACAGAAACAGCGAACTTCTTTGTGTGGAGTTAGGTCAAAACCCTGCTGGCAGCCATGTTTTTATTATTAGAGGATGCATAATCATTCCATATTTGGGATACGCATTTCCAAATATGGTAGGATGAAAATGACCCGTAAAATACCGCAAAATTACGGCACGCTGTAACTTATGGCGTTACAGTGACAGATGTATAATAATATTTATTAATATGAATCATAATGGAGAGTATTGTTTGAGTGACGCTTTTAAATTCTCATTTCTAGCTGTGTTTACAAACCAACCAGACTTCTTGAGTGTGGCACCCTCACAGAGGCTCCTTGCGGAAGCGTCAGCACGGTTCAATCACATGTTTGTATCACATGGCAGCACCATGATCAGTTTGATAAATCAATGACCATATACAAGGCTATGTACTAAACAATTATTTATAATCAATACTTTCCACTAGAAAAATCCATTTATAATGTAAATCAGCAAAAAAATCTTCAGTTATATCTTCAGTTAATAAGGCCTGTAACATTCTTTCTTCAAAACTGATAGTGCATGAGGCTTTTTTTAATTTGTAGGAATATAAATGACGAGAGGTCTCTGATTTTATACAGCAGTACACATTAGTGACCTCAACACATTATAGTTATATTTATTTTTGATACAGAAGGCGTACTTTGATTTAAAATTTTAATGAAAATTGATGTTATGATATTCTGTTTTGCACAGTCACTAGAACCACATATTGCCCCGACAAACAATGATGATGTTTTTCTGGAAGTGTGCAACTCCTAAAATGAATGATGCAAGGCCGCCCTTAACAAAATATTTTCCCGAAATTTACAAACAAACAGGAATACATACCTGTCTACTCCAGTAGCATCTCCATGTAGAACACTATGCCAACTGACAGGTAAGAATTCCACTCGTCCCACCTTGCCTTCATCCTGATGATGACCAAAATGAGACTGTAGTAGAGACAGTGATACACTACGGAAATCATCAACTGAAACAAAGAAAAATTTAACATAGAAACAATACTTATCAAGCAATAGAAACAGACAAGACAAATACTACATCATTTATAAACAAATTTATACTACTAGTATATGTATCCTGCAAAAACAAGTCAAGCAGAAGAAAAAAAAAATGGCAGACCTTATAACATTGCAGAAACACAAATAGCGCAAAAAAAAAAAAAACAGATTTCCATTAAAACAATTCTGAGGCATATTGGTAGAATGAATATACCTTCTGACAGTCAATCAGTCAGGATTATTAGCCAATGCACACAATATGCCACAAGTTGATTGTATTTTACTTTAGGGCAAGGTAAAACTTGATGACTATCTCTACCCACAATAATAGTTGAAAAAAAAAAAATCAAAAACAGATGAACTATGGCCATAGTTTTGATATAATACATCAACAGATGGTTGTATGATTCAGGGCTCCAAATTATCATGTAATGAATCATAACAAACAAGTGTAATAAACAAGTTTCCTTCTCCTTGGAAAAGCAGTTTGTGACCACTTGAAAACTGGCAAAACAAAAAGTCTACCTTTTTTACACACATACATTTAGAAGCACATGCCATTTCCACATAATGTACGCAAGATGAAATGTCCTACGGGACAACTACTTCAATTATTAAATAATTCACCTACCACATTCTACTATACTTCTGAATCTCAGATCACACACAGGTCCGATACCATGTACAACAAACATCACATGGTCTATCAAGTTAGGTTCACCTGTAAAATATGTACAATTTTAAGTTAATTGTAGTATTTTAATATTAGAGTAGGAGAGTATACAAGTGCTTCAGTAATAAATTTAGTGTTGCTTAGCAACAAAGTGTAAATCCTACCTTCCTCTACTTGTCCAACATCATCATCCATGCCACGTTTCACCACCCGAGGTCTCATACTGGAATCCTGTGTTGCTGCACCCCACTCATCGGCCTGGGTGGATGGCCGGAAATGGACAATAACATTGGGGTTATGCATCACAACAGTCTCACCATCTGGGAATTCCAGTCGTCGATGCCAGACATTGTTTGTAACAGCAAACTGAAACTCTTGCTAATAAATAAATGAAAAAAAACAAAAACATATTTTTGGGGTTCTTTTTTTTTCTGTTTGTGAAAAATTTATTATTAAATCTTAATTTTTTTTCAAAATCATATCTTTAACCACACATATATACTGTGATTTCTATACATTTAAGTACATTGTCCCAAAATCTCATAATTTAATAAGAAAATTGTGCTTGAAGAGGATAAAAAATGACAGATGAAAAGAATGATTAAAATTAAAGTACAACAATGTACATCATGAGGAAAAGTTTTAAAGGAATTACCGGTACTCCCAAAGTCTCACCTCTAATTTTTCTGCAAAAGCTTCTTCATATGGTATGAATCTGTTGTCGCCATCACCTTTATAAAACCATGTACATCGTCTGACTTCAGTGGATTCTTCTTCCCAGTAGACAGGGCTACGTAAACGGGCACGCAAGTCAACATCGTATCGGCCACCATCAGTCTGTATGATACAGTCATCAGGATCCTGCTGAACTACAAATATAGAGTTCGAGATAAACAAAAGTCTTGATTTTTGGCATTTTTAATCTACGTGATTCAATAATTTGAACTATGACAAACCATCTTAAGAAAGTGATCACTGTTGAAAATAAATTACTCACAAAGATGAATTACAATTACAGTACTGTGCATTTTATGAAGGCATGAATTTGTTTTATGGACATTTATAAAATATTAATAAGACAATTACCCCAACAAATCAACATGTTTCATTTGAATCCAAAGAAGATGCTTCTATTGGCTACTTAAAACATTTAGTAACACCCATCACAATGCGTCTGCAGGTTTTGTTCAGTCATTGTCCAATTTATGTGTGGTAATTGGTCTAGAGGTTTTCAACCATCATTCGAATTTTAGATACATTTAAAAATATTTAAATAAAACATTTTCATGCCTTTATGAAATACAAAGTATCACAGAATGGTGGTCACCATTCATTAAGTGTTTCTATCATCAGCCTTGTCATAATAGAAATATATAAATACAAATAAAGTTATTAGTTCTGAGGGGATGGTATAGTGGAAGGAGAATGAAAATGGGAATTATTTTGTGTGTGTCTGAATCTTACACAAATGAGTGACTCACAGTGGGAACAAACAAGATTCATACGGGTAACTTGCAACTTAACTTGGAAAATCCTTATCAATGTTCCAATAACTACCATCAACTTCCCCATATGATTAATGCGTCCACAAATATGATTCGTACATTGAATTTACAACAAAAATGTTGCAATATGAAAACAACATAGCCATAGTATATACCTAGACAAAAATTAGTGGTGCCAGGGGAGATGAAATTGTCACAAAATGTAGCAAATCATTTTCAGAACATTAGATAGTGGCATTAATTTTGGTGAGAAAATGGCATAATTTTTTAATCAAGAAATTAGTAGTTTTTGAAAGATAAACTGAGCATCGAAGAAATATTTAACAGTTTTTATGGTGATAACAGCTTATTGTCGAAAACAAAGTTTTATCTATTCACCCTAGAATAAACATTGTACTCTTCAATAGGCATCAGTAACTACGATAAATTACGAATTTAAATTAGACTCTAATTAGGTGCCATGAAAATTGAAATATTCAAAAAAGTATCACTAAATTAGAGAATTTACGATTATATCGTATCAAAAGCAATTGCATGATGTATTTGTGACATGGAATCAATGAGTCACTTTTACAGCATTAAACAACACTATAAAACGATTCTGTGCAGTCTGTGTAGAGGGCAGAAGTTATCCCAAGATCATTGTCTAGATCTTGTTACACTGTAATGCCCAAACTAATAAAACATCAGTTTCCCAGTTATAGAATATCTAGGACAGATCTCTAATGACTTAAACCAATCATGCTTATCCATTAGTTTTCCCCAGATACAAGACAGATGAGTTTTTTGCACTCCTGACATTTACTCTAGGCTTTGGGACAGTTTAATGCCATCCAATGAGAAAAACATAAGAAAGAATTCCTGCTTGCCACCCCTGTTTTCAATGGTATGACCCAGAAGACGTACTGGTACAGTAGTACTTGACTGAAGTCACAATAGTGCTGTGGAAGTCTGTGGGGCTTCAAGTGCTGGGGAAAATGGATTTTGCCCACGGGATAAATCATTTACTGTGTAGAAATATTGTGCATTCAAACTTTAAAATATGGAAACAATTATTTGTTTACATTGATTAAAGATGTTGCGGTTTGGGATGAACATGATTTCAGAAATAATTATCATCACTTGAATGACACTTGAATGCAACTTTTTCAAATTAAACATTATCCCCCTATTTCAAAATGGTATAGTCCAGCACCTGTATACTCTAATTGATCTGTAAAATGTTATTGAATTTTTTTTAACTACACATACCATGGGATATGATGTCCAACAATAAAATACAGTCATTTTGTTTTCAACCTTGAAAACCTCATTTTGGATTTTTAATTACTTAAAATGTACATTATTTCCCATCAATTTTTGAAAAGATATGGAAAATATTGAGCAAAGATTTTTAAAGATATGGAAAGGATATGGAAAATATTGAGCAAAGATTTTTAAAGATATGGAAAAGATATGGAAAATATTGAGCAAAGATTTTTAAAGATATGGAAAAGATATGGAAATGATAGAGCAAAGATTGACTTAGGGTTAAAGATTATTATTTTTACTTTGAATAATGGGAGTATATAGCTTTCTTGTTTAATCTTAAGTCCAGATTTGACATAAACACATAAGACAAAATGACTTGAAATGGCTTGTGTTTTCAAAATTTCCAGGTATACAAATGTACAATGAATATAGTTTAATGTAAAGCTCAGTATTCACTTGAAAAAAATATTTCAGTTTCACTTCATGTTTGCTATGCCTTGCTTGAAGTAGCGAAAATTTAAATTTATAAATAGCTAGCTAAAAAAATATGTCTTACAATACCTGAAATTTTATAATTGCGTAATATTGAGATTTTTAAATAAACATCACCGTCTATAAGTCATCTGCTTATTCAAATTCATGTGAAATTTTTATGATTTATAACAATATTTAATGAGTTCATAAAAAAAAATGTAATTTATCTTTACTTTACTCGTTTTTACTCCAATTTATATTAATTTGTATTCAAATACAGTTAAAATGATATATTTATGATTGATGAGATTTTTCTTGACAAAATTTCACCCCTCCTCGTAAAATGTTCACTGAAAATATAGCTCCCGTGAAATTAATAGTGTGAACCCCAAGGATGAATACATACCTGTTGCGAGAGCGTCTTCTAGTTTTAAAGCATCTGCCATTGTAAAAGGCAGCCATACTGAGCGCTGTTCAATTAGTTTAGAATAAAACCAATGTCCCTGCACTGGGGTATAAACCTGCGGACTTCCACTAGCTACGGCACCCTGTGATTCAGCCATCGCCGGACTCCTCATCTGTTGAAAATCGGTCGATGTTGGTGGCGGTTTACTTGGATCAAACTGCAAGACATCAAGAACAAAAAGTCGTCCTTGATTAAAACTTGATCCACTTTTCAAAAACAGAGTTGTTTGAATAAGGTTGACTTCAAAGATTATTTAATCGGGCATTTTTAACAATGAAGTGAAAGTACCTTACTTAAAAGATCATCATGTAAAATGGGTGATACCATTTCATGTTGGGGGTAGGTCAACATACATTCATGAATGAATGAATAGATCAATTACACACACACATCTATGTAGGTCATGCAATATACTGACCTCAAGGTGACCTCACCTCAGTGTAGATAACCATCACAGAGAATGACCTCAAGTAAACAATAAAATAAATGGCTTTATTCACACTGCAATACAACAGAAGCCAAATAGAAACCCAGATAAAGTATATTTTGTAATTATATTTTATATTTCAATTGCGCGAGTTTTATATGACAGCTGCTTAATTATAACTAGCATTTTGAATGTAAATTTTATATAAATAATTTGATATAACTTGTATACTATTTAACTGCAAGCAGTATATATGCAGTGCCATTTTGGACGCACTACATGGCAATAATATTTAATAGTAGGAAAGCTAAACTAACATGTTTTGTTATGCTAATTAGTATACATGAAATAAGGGCAGGGAATGAAACAGACCTTGGAGTACAATTGTCAGATACAATTGAGATCAAATCAGAGAAGAATAATGTTGTTGGTGAAATGAAATCCAACTCTACTACAATGTCATGTGGGGTCCAGTGAATGAAAACAGTGCTAGTTTCACAGCAAGAAAGATTACAAGACATACAACAAACCGAAGCAAACAATGGGGTGTAGATGAGTCTTCAACAACATACTATCAATGTAGCATGTTCCTATCACAGCTACATGAATACCAGTATGGCAAATCAGTTTAAATTTGCAAACCAATCATTGAAAGATATCACAATACACATGTTTAAAGCATAAACAAAACATTAACATTTCCTACACATGGATACAAGTGTTCATTTAAGCTCACCACTTCCTCGCCTGCAGTCTCCTCCATATTTGACTGTTCTAAGCAATGTTTTTTATCACAAGATTCAGTGTTGGATTCGCCTGATGCTCTTCGTTTGAGAAATGACTTCAACAAACTCATGACCCCAAATATCAATGTTGACATGTGATATGTGATATGTGATAAACAAGAACACCATACCCAGATTCAAAATATTAGCATAAAGGTCAGAGGTCAGAGAGCAGCACTTGGTAGATCAGATGACAGCTGATAGCCAATCAGATGATGAATTTTGTGGTTTATTAGGGATGGAGGTTTGGCATCAACAGGCAGTCATAGTGAAACTTCCAGCTGTCAAATAACTGATTAACAGTCTTCTATATTTATCATCTCATCCACATCTACATGTAGAAATGTGTATATTTTTGTTTCTTTTATTTTATACAGCAATTATTAATTTTCCAAGCCCAATTGAAGAAATGTTACTGATATAAATCTGCTATATAACTAATAACTATTACCATTATATTTTTAGAAGTTTGACCACTCTTACGATGACCATATTTGCATATGCGTATGTAAGTACAGTAGTTGGGCTAAAGACAATAGAGTCTATTATTGAGAATAAAAAACAGTGTTTTTTTTATTATTTGATATATATATATATATATATATATATATATATTTTTATTCCCCGCTGGTCAGTTTTATTGTTCCACTTTTTCAGCACTATAGCAGATTTTACTGACTCTTGTTAGTATATTGTTCAAGTGTCTATTATTTTTGGTTTGACAAATTATGTTTCAAACTTTGTGTATTTGAAATAATGTTACCACTAACAATTATGGAACTCCATTTTGTAGTCAATTTTCCCTGTTTAGATTGTTTATAGAATACCAACTAACAATTGTATTACTAACTATCTAATGACCTGTTGAACTCAAATATATAAGTCTATACCAGCTGGCTGGAAGCTTAGAAAGCTGTACTGTATTTATTGTATAAAAAGCGCATCTAAACAAAAAATTACATTGGTTATATACTGAATTATAAAAATATTACTTATATCGACCATAGAACCACATACTCTACTAATAGAGCAAATACAGTATATACAATAGACATAATTCCAATCTCCAGGTTAATCAAATCACGGACTATTTTAAGTTACATTTGCTACTGTAAAGGGGGTAATTATTCACTGGGTTTTAATTTAGCTTATTTCGCTGACTGGAAAATGCGCTAAATTAAAACCCAGTGAATATGTAAAATTTAGCATAGAACACATTATCTAAATGACGAAACCGTGAATTTAAAACACACTGAATATGCCTCAAATAGTAAATCAGTGAAATTTAAACCCAGTGAAAATTAGTCATTTTACAGTATACCTATTTCAAATGAACAGGCTGTTTCAGACTATTTTTTTGCACAGACACTCTTCGATATATTCCCTCTCAAGCAGCTCTGGGATTTTTCTATTTTGCTATTTGTTTCAAAATTATGTTTTAATTTCTGAATATCAGAAAGAACATTGCATTGTTTTTTCAAGATAGCTAAATTAATATTTCTTCTCCAACTATCATGTAGATATATATCTCAAACAACACAGTATGGTGGTGAGCGTGTCTGTAAAACTGTCTTGTTGCCAATGTCTTACTAAATTCGTTCATTCATTGGTTCAATTATTTTTTTACCAAAATTGGCTTTCTGTGTTTACACAAAGATCATGCGACTATACACGTCCATACACACACTGTCTTGTTGATTTCACATCCAGTGTGAAATAAGCTTTCCATCAATATACAGCTTTGTATGGTTCAGTAAATATTGTATATGGAAACTACAGTTTAGAAAATCAATATGAAGACGTATACAGCATCCTTAACCTCACATTCATCATCTTTTAGGTGTTTGTATGGTCAAAATAAGTAATATTTCAATAATTTTGTAAGCAACGAAGATGACTTTTGATTCACATATCTTCTACTAGAGATGCGCTTTGTTTACAAACATTTGATGGCTCTGCGAAAAATTCTGTCTGGTAAATTTTTTCAGCAGCGAGTTTGAGAATACTTTCATGTACCAATGAATATTAAATTGATATTATAGACCTGTATGAATGATATAAGAAATGATTTTTGTGAATATTAATTAAATGATTCTCCAAAATTAGTCCAGACTTTAATTCATTGAATTAAAAAAACTGTCAGAAATATGTATACAAGTATGTCCAAAAAATATAAAGTATGAAAGCACAAATGAGACTCAAAGTTTTTATTTGTGTCATGTCATAATTTTTGTGGTCTCCCACCAAGGTAGGCAGAGAAGATATAATCATCATATTTCCTCAGTTCAACTACTGATAGGTAATGGAGAACTTTCAGAGATCAATTTTCCATCAGATTAATCTCAGGCAGGTGAAGCTGTTAAATTAAGTATTATCGCATAACCGAGGTGACTATCATTCACAGTTGCAATGATTAGTGTACATATCACTGCTGACATGGTACGGGTAAACGTCTGAATATTTACGATAAACATCATCATTTGATGAACAAACCCAGTGAAAAACAAAACGTGCAACAGTACCGTTTTTATTACAATTTCATACTGGATACTTATTACTCACATGGTGCAATTGCACTACATACGTAATAATGATGACTTACAATTTCATGGAAAATATTATATGCTGTCAATCCCATCAACCAACTCTACATAAGGTGACATCTGGTTTGGGATAAATTTATCGGAACAAACAAGTTATGCCATGACACATTCCCCGTTCAATAGTAAACAAAATTGAAATGTGTGACATGATGTATTAAGTAGATGTAAAGTTACATTGCAATCAGTCAAAGCATGACTCAGGAAAAGAATGTGTTGAAACAAAATGGCCACCATTCAGCCATTTTGAACCTGATCTGAAAGACCCGACATGGATCAAGATTCCATTATGTCCAAAATCTGTTCAATGCACAAAAGTGGCCACCATTTGGTCATCTTGAATCAGAATGAATGAGCATATGTTATCTAAGATACACAATGTATATGTGAAGTTTGAATGTGATTGGTCTAGGCATGTTCGGGATACAGGTGGGGACACACACCCAGAGATCAATCCATTAATCATTGTTTTGAACTAAACAGGGTCTGAATGAGAACTACCGTACTCGACCGCGTCAGCGCCCATGCCCGGGCAAGCGCCCACCCCCCACTTTTGCGCAATTTTTATATTCGGGGTCACATTCGGCAAAGCGCCCACCCCTTCAAAATGCAACTAATTTAAAACTTGGTACTTGGTCTTGCGTAATGAATCTTGGTAATCGTTTTTATATGATACAGCGTGGATATCGACCGTTGTGAACATGTTGTGAATGCGTAGAACACGGTAACCGTGCGTAAACTACGCTTCGACAAT